AGCAGGCTACCCACGGAGCAGGGAGCCTGATGTGGGGCTCGATCCCAGGACCCTGGGACCGTAACCTGAGCCGAAGGCAGACGCTTAATGACTGAGCCACCCAGGCGCCTCTGTCACTTGGTTTTTTTTGCTTACTGTTTTTTCCATGTCCGATAACAGTGCCCCAGGATTATTTTTGTAAAGTGCAATCTGATCATTTCATTCTGTCCACTTAAGTCTTTCGGTGTTCCCCTTTTGTGGCATAAAAATAAAGGAAACCCCTTCACATGGCCAACAAATTCCTTCCTCCCCTGCCCTAGTCAACCTCTTCTGCCACCTGCAGCCACCTCCACCCGCCGCCTGGAAGACCCCACCCTTTTAGGATCCAGTTTGAGGCCATCTTGTCTCTGAAGCATTCCCTAGCTTGTGTGTGTGTGTGTGTGTGTGTGTGTGTGGTAAAATACACATAACACAAAATTTGCCATTATAACCCTTTTTAAATATACAATTCAGTAGCATTAGGTGTCTTCACAATGTTGCGCAACCATCACCACTGTCTATTTCCAGAGCTTTTTCATCACCCGAAATATAAACTCTACCCATGAAGCAATAACTCCTCATTGCCCCCTCCCCACAGCCCCTGGAAACCTCTAATTTACTTCTGTCTCGGTGTACTTGCCTATTCAAGACATTTCCTATCAGTGGAATCCTACAATATCTGCCCTTTTGTGTCTGGCTTCTTTCACTGAGTAGAAGGTTTTCAGGGTTTATCCATGACGTAGGAAGTATCTGAGTTTCTTCTTTATGGCTGAATAATATTCTGTTGTATGTATATACCGTGTTTGGTTTAACCATTCATCTTTGATGGATACTTGGGTGGTTTCTGCCTTTTGGCCATTGTGAACTGTGCCGCTGTGAACATTCACGTGCGAGCATCTGTCTGAGTCCCTGTTTTCCGTTCTTTGGGGAGGGGGATAGCTAGGAGTGGAATTGTAGGATTCCGCAGCTGCTCAAGTTAGTCATTCCTTCCTCTCGCTTTCCCGGAGCACACTGTAGGAGACTCTGCTATGGTGTTCTGTATCCTAGATGATTTCTGTCTGTGCTTCCTGGGGCCGTCTGCAGCCTGCAGACCGCTGTCCATACCGAGCACGGTCAGCACACAGCTGCCGAATGATTACACGAATGAATGACGAGCAAGCAGGCAACCTAACCAGTCCTATTATGGATGGTGACTGACTCTACCAAAGAGTGTTTGCTGTGAAGTCCCACTTATAATCAGCTTCTAAAGAGAAACAGCTTACTAATCTCCGCTGGGGTGGGAGAAAGTGCAACATTGCGAGGCTTAGACATTTGCCTGTAAGAGGAGGCTCTGTGCAGTAGCCTGAAGGATTGGAAATCCAGCCACAGTCCGCAGTACCAACCACATGCCGGCAAGGCTTGTGCCACACGGCTGAGTGATGTGTTCGTCTGAGATTAAAAAAAAAAATACAGATCACCGATAAAAAACATCAAATGAGCCTTTTCTACCCCGCCGTTAGACATTCCGTCCGGCTGCTATGCTGATAGAACGATCGTCTGACTTCGGGAAAACCTGGGGCGTGTACCGATACTTTGCCTATGACTGCGAGAGCTCATTTCCAGGCATTTCTGCTGGTCCCATGAAGAAAGTGGATGATATAATCTGTGATTCCCGCTATTCTGACATTGAACCCTCAACGGAAGGAGAGGTTTGTTTGCTTTTCTTGTTTCACATTCTACTTATAAATCCTTTTTGATCATTGCAAAAATACCCATTACTCTTGTATCTATTTTTAGGTGATATTTCGTGCTTTAGATCCTGCTTTCAGAATAGAAGATCCTTATAGTCCAAGGATACAGAGTAAGCTTGTTTTCGAATAACAGCTTTGATGGAAAACAGCAATCATGGAAGAACTCTTACCCAGAACACTGCTACCCCGAATCTAAGCATTCAGTGCTAAATCCATCCTCTTTATTTCCTTTTATCTCCACAATACCCAATCAGAGGTCCTTGAAATTGGCAGGAATCAAAGTCCACCCTGACCGGGAACACATTTTGATTAGAGTTAAAGATTTATGTCATAAGTACTCAAACAGTTATGCTGGTCATAATACCTTATTTTATTGCTCAGTATAATATATGTGTATATAAATATATATAAATATATGTTACATATAACATATATATAACATATAACATGTTATATAACATGTATTATATAACATATAATTTGTGTATATTATATAACATGTATATATAAATTAGGGTACAGATTAAGCTGTTGTAACAAAGGATCCCAAAAAATACAGTGACTCAAATAAAATAGAAGTTTATTTCTCTCTTATGAAATCATCCAGAGAAGAAAGGTAGCTCAGTTGCTACAAGTAGGATTACCAGATAAAATAAAGGCTGACGCCCAGTTAAATCTGAATTGGAGATCAATAGCAAGTTATTTTTTTTTAGTATAACTATATCCCATGGAATATTTGTGACTAGTACAAGGATATCCCATGCAATATTTGTGGTTGGTGTGACTATGTCCCATGTAATATTTGAGACAGACTTTACTGAAAAAAATATTGTTTATCTGAATTTCAAATATAACTGAGCAACTTGTATTTTTATTGCTACATCTGGCAACCCTAGCCATTAGGCCACCCAGGTCCCTTCTGTCTTGTAGTCTTTATCTGCATGGTTGGAGCTGGACCAACGCTACCATGTCGTTGTCCCAACCTATGGGATGGGAGGAAGAGAAGGGCAGATGACATGGAAGCTGTACGTCCCCTCTGTTCACATCCCATTGGCCAAAATTAGTCACATGGCCAACCTCAAGACACACTGAGAAACCTCTAGCTAGGTGGCCATGTGCCCTCTCACACTCTTGCCTGGGGCTCTTCTTGTCAGAGGAAGAAAAGAAGAAAGAGTACTGGGGAGAAATCTGAAGTGTCAGCCATGTTCAATATGCTCAGTCAGATGAGGATTGTATTCCCATTTAACAGATGAGGAAACTGAGGCTCAGAGAGTTGGAGTAATGTGCATAAGGGGACAGTCAGATCCTGAACCCCTATGTTATGATTCTAAGTCTAAATTTAGAATCTTTCTAGCATGTAACAACCATGCCTCAGTTATTACAGAATTACATTTTGATCATCTTGGAAGGCAAAATATGCACTAATTAAAAGAACGAGGTTTGGAGTCTGACAGACCTGGGTTTAAATCCCAGTTCCAGCAGATCATAGTTCTGTGACCTTGGGCAAGTAATCTGTTTAAACCTGTTTTTTTTAGGCTCTGTTTTTTCATCTGTATGTAGAGATAGTAATATTGACTTGAACATCATTATGGAGGGAAAATGAGTTCTAGAAACGACCTTCTGACGTGCCTGACCCACAGAAAGTGTTCAGTGAATTGAAGCAGCTGCTGTTCTTGATGTTGCCACGAGCCATGGCCTGGGTCTTGCGTGGACCTGGTCCCCATACCTCGGAGAGAGGGGATGAGACTCCCTCTCCTGCTACTAAGGTGTAGTCGGCTGAGCAGAGGCAGGGCTGATTCTTGCTGATCGTTCCCAGCTGCGGATAGCCCTATTTGAAGCTAAGGCACCATAGACCCTCCCAGCGTGAAGCATGGAAAAGTAAAACGGAAAGCATCCAGGAAATATTGCCAGAAAAGTGATGTTTCCCCACTTAAATTAATTTTACACGCGGCCCAGACTATCTCTGGTCTGTAATTTACTCATTCATTCTATTATAAAACAAATACTGATGGCGCATCCAGCCCTAGGCCATTTCTGAGTGAGCTCTGTGAGGCGCGCCCTCTCTGCTCTCAAAATCCAGTTGGGAGAAATGTCCACATGGGCTCCACAACAGACACTTCGTGGGGTCCTAAAAGGACTCACGGTCTGCTCCTTCTTGGGTGACATTTGCAGGACTTGGGGAATGTGTCGCCATTATAATTCTCTTACCTTTATTTTGTTAAATGGCCTCAGAAAAATCTTGTCTGTATTCGAGAGGCATCCATTTTAACTGATGATGCTTTTCATTGACTTTGTCCTCCAGGGAACAACTCAAGTCTCTTTAGTTGGCCCTGGTGTTGAGACCTCGGCGCCTCACTTCAAAAGTGAGTTTTGCCTCACACCAGCAGCCCATGGACAAGGCTTGGTTGTTGTTAACTGTGCTAGGAGAGAGGGGAAGAGCATATTTGCTCTTCTGCGGGCTCCCACAAAGATCGGTTCAAGGGCTCCTAAACACTCCCGCTGTTCTTCCGCTTTGCCGTCTGGCCGCTCGTCAGTAGGGGCTTGTGCTCGCTCTGTGTGCAGGAGGAGATGTTGGCATTCACCAATTCCATTCAGCTAAGTAGTACCATGCTTTCTCTGTTTACTTTTTGATTTTACAAAGAGCCTAAGTTCAATGCATGGGCTCATGGACTGTCCCTTTCAACCCACGGCTATTTCTATAGTCTTCATTGTAAGCTGTGCATATATTATAAGCCGTTAAAATTGTATTTGGGCTTTGAAAGTTTCTGATGCCCTGGGCCAACGCCCTGTTGTCCTGTGTGGCAGATGGGCATGCATCAGCACCAATGAGGGTAAAGCTTAGGAGCAGTTTCCGGCTACGCAGGACATGGGAGGACTGATGGACTAATGAGTCTTTCGGGGTCCACTTCAGCAAGAGCAACTCAGCCATTGATGGAAACACTGGTGGAGAAGGATGAATGGCTGGCTCTTGGTTTACCAAGTTACTATGGAATATAATTGATGGCCCCACTTCTGTAATAAGCATAGATCTATAGACCCAGGAGAGAGAAGAAAAGGTAAGAGAAATTGATTCTTAATAACCTAACTTAATATTTAGGAAAAAACAACTTGCCCCCCAACCTCCTAATACTGAGCTCCTTTATCCTTATGTCACACTATGGATGACAAACTAGGACAAAAAAGTGGGAGACTGTGATGTTGTGTCAAAATTTGGTGGAGATCTTCTGTCCCTGGAGAGCGGTTATTCCATAGTGTTCGATCTGTTTTAGTAACTTGGATTCCATCTGTGCAGTGGGAAATTTCAGACAGTATTTTTTTTCCTCCAAAAATAAACACAAAAATGTTCCGTCCTAACTCCCTTGTAATAAGAGAACTGGAGTGTGTTGATAAACCCTTTCCCACCTGCATGGAATCCTCTGGTTTTGAGACTGACGCTCATTGCTGTGGGCACTGGATGATATTGCAATCGTTCAGATTACTGTGTGCTAGAGGATTCTGGCAGCCGTGCAACTGCGTTCTTAAATTTCTCTGCTTTTGTGCTTCTTCCTGAAACAGTCAGATGCTCTTTCTAAACTGGTGAGGAGAGAGCAACTCTTCTCTTTTCTAGACGCTCTCCCGTTATGTCGAGCTTCACTAGTATGGCCATTGAGACCCTACAAGCGGGTAGCCTTTACTTAAGCCATTTTTATTTGTTGTGCCTTTCTATAGAGAGATGTTGTATAATTGCAAATGAAGTCTTGCGTGTTTGATCAGACTTTCCGTCTTCTTGGTGACCTTCGTAGATCTATTAAAAATCACCAACTTGAGAATCAAGTTTGTGAAGCTACACACTTTGGGCGATAACCTTTTGGATTCCAGAATGGAAATCAGAGAGAAGTATTACTATGCAGTGTACGATATGGTGGTTCGAGGAAATTGCTTCTGTTACGGCCATGCCAGCGAATGTGCGCCTGTGGATGGATTCAATGAAGAAGTAGAAGGAATGGTAAGCAAGCACTCTGGGGGGCTTTCTCCTTTATTTTTTTTCTTTTAAGATTTATTTATTTATTTGAGAGACGGAGAGTACAGAGGAAGAGGGAGAAGCAGACTGCCCGCTGAGCAGGGAGCCCGACGCGGGACTTGATCCCAGGACCCTGAGATCATGACCCGAGCTGAAGGCAGATGCTTCACCGACTGAGGCACCCAGGCGTCCCATGCACTCTCCTTTATTTATTTATTTATTTATTTATTTATTTATTTATTTATTTATTTTTAAAGATTTTATTTATTTATTTGACAGAGACAGCGAGAGCGAGAACACAAGCAAGGGGGAGTGGGAGAGGGAGAAGCAGGCTTCCCGCCGAGCAGGGAGCCCGATGCGGGGCTCGATCCCAGGACCCTGGGATCATGACCTGAGCCAAAGGCAGACGCTTAACAACTGAGCCACCCAGGCGCCTCGAGGCTCTCTCCTTTAGACAGATGATCCCAAAAAGCAATTTGAAGCTAGTTTTACCTTAAACCTTTCACAATTTCTTGGGGTTTTATTTTTCCAGACTGACTTAGCTCTTTCCACCATACTGGTGGTTGATGGTTGGTTTTCTCTTTGCTAAATTTCTGGGGCTATGAGAATATAAGGGCTATTTATGTCAGAGACAAAGAATTAATTTTTGGAAGTTATTGCAGCAGGGTGCTGCGACAGTATATATTTTTTGAGTCAATAAGGATTAAGAAGTTTTCTAAATCGCCATTACATCTTCCTTTTCTTTAGGGAAGATTAGACACCACAAGCATGAAGTGATCTCAGCCCAGAAAACTGGGGCATTTGAACCTGGAACCATAGAATATGATTTAGGAATCCAATGGGTTTTGTTCCTTTATATGTTTTTTCTAGTTTCATTCTTTTCCCACCTTTATGCTGTGTTGTCAATTCATGTATTTCTAAAAATTGGGGATTTGGGTGATTGCCAAACGGATAAAGTTGGGGTATTTTACCTGTTTCTAAGTGAACTTTACAGAACCATAATTTTTACAGAACCGTAGGATTTTAGAGCTCAATGGGATTTACTCAACCAACTATCCTTATTAGAAGGGAGCAGAGATTAAATAGCACACCAGAGGGCCCTAAGTCAGCAGCAGATGGAAATTCATGCCTAGCTCGTCCCATTCTGCCCCAGGGTTCCTTCTGTCATTAGACTCTGGGCCTCCCTTGATGAATCGTGCCTTCCTTACTTGCTGTTTGCTTTGCCAAGATTGTTAGTCCTCATCTCAGAAGGTCCAGGATTGCATGCATTCAACTGGCTGAAATTTCTGCTCTCCATTTGTTCTACTTAGAACACTTGCCCTATAGATAAAGTTGCATTTTTTAGCAGACCCTAAAGGGAGGACATGTCCTCGTAATCTCGTTGCTACATCTTTCAGAGAATGCTAGGTACGTAGTATTTACTTTTCAGCATAGCAGATCTGGCGTGCAGCTCATGTCCTGTAGTCCTGTCACTATCAGGGGTCTCAGTACCATGTGCTGTTGGTTTAGACACTGTAGAGTCCTGTGGTGTGTGCTTTGGAACTGTTTTTTTATTCTGTGTAAAACTAGCTTGTAAGGAGACGATTTTACTCTTTTGCTCACTTGCGCTCCTGTCAAGGTGAGTCCAGGACAGACCTGTCTGTCCTGTTCCTGAATTCCATTCTGTAGAAACTAGTGTTAAGGTGAGGTGCCCATGCACACGCGTATTTGGTAGATTGAAAGAATTTATCTTTTACGTGCCTCGGGCTTTCAGCATAGCTTGCTGGAGACACAATGCAAAAGAGCACATCCTGGGCCCTTCCTCAAGCAAAATAATTTGTATTTTTTTTCCTGAGATTTTATGTTTCCTTTCTTAAAAAAAAGGTAAATGTGAATGTAGTAAATGATTAATATTGTGAATCTCATTTTGGTTTGGAAAAACAATGAAGTTCTGTGCCTGAAGTCAAAAACAAAAGAAGCAAAAAACCCATTCTTTCGTGTGGCATAGTGGTAAAACGTGCCGCAGGTGGTTTCCAGGTGGTGTATATTATAACTTTTGTTGATTTACCTTAAAATAGGTTTCTTTTGGGCATAGATTTTTTTTCTAAACTCTTAAGTAACTAGGTTTTTTGTTTTGTTTTTTTAAATTCTTAAGTGACTGATGTTGTGCATCTGGGTTCTTTTCATTGATACTTCGATAAAATATTTCTTGAGTATCTATTGTATAATAGGAACTATTCCTAGAGATGGGAGTTGGAGCCATCAGAAAGACAGAACTCAGTGTGGATAGGGACAAAATAAAAACAAACCCTCATTTTGGTGAGCTGGAGATGAGGATGTTTATATCTTCCGTTGGTTGTGGAGAAAATCAGGCCATCGGTCTGCCTCTTACTTTGCTCTTTCCTGTTTCTCTAACTTCCAAGGTTCACGGGCACTGCATGTGCAGGCATAATACCAGGGGCTTGAATTGTGAACAGTGCATGCATTTCTACCACGATTTGCCTTGGAGACCCGCTGAAGGTCGAAACAGCAATGCCTGTAAAAGTAAGTCTCTATTGGAGGGGCATTTTGAATCCACTCAGACTCCAGTATCTTCTGATTAGAGCCACTGTAATAGTACATTAGTTTGCGAATGGAAGAAAAGTGACTACCCTTTGACCAGCTTTACCCAGATACTCTTCGGAAACCAATATCCACTCAGTTTAAAGAATGCATGAGTTTGCTGAATAGCAGCCGTGTGTTTGGCAAATTTCGTAGACGATGGAGATGGTGTCCCTGCTATTGTACCTGTCTTGAAGGCAAGATGACCGTGAGCGAGAAATGAAAGGAAAATATGGCCTGGTAGATCCCTGAGGTCTAAGAGATACAGAACAGAGTTTCTGGCCTGTTTCTGTGCCAGCCCAACCAGCGGTATTCTCTGGGCAGAGGTGTAGTTTGAAACCCGCCCCCACTGGCCCCCACAGTGATTCTGATATGCTCTCCTCCCCTAAAGGAGGAGCAGTGTGCCTGCCCCTTCCCCCACTGAGGACTGTTCTAGAAGTTCAGAAACCAGTGAGGGCTGGAGTGATCAAGGCTTGTTAGTACGTACAACCCAGCAGCCTTTGATGATAGCTAAGATTGTTTAGGTAAGAAGAAGAAAGAGAGCTAGGGGGAAAGTAGGAGGGAAAGAAAAGTTCAGATAAGGAGAACAGCACAGAGCACAAGGCCCCAAGGACGTTCTTGTGACCAACACAAAGTCCACACTGGGGAAATGATTCCAAGGTTTAATTCAACCGGTGTGTCACGGGTAGTTCTCTGCTAGGCATGAGGAGGGTCACTGGTTGTGACACAGCCCCTCCCTATAGGAGGTTATGTTGCAGGGGGAGACAGAGGAGGCCAGAGTGTAGAGCCCCAGGAGGGCCAAGCCTAGCTAAGCTCCATTTCGAGAAGACCAGAGTCCGTGTGGGTCACTGAGCAGGGAGTGAGATGATATTAAAGCCGGGTTGGACCAAGGGGACTGCCCAGTGGGCCTGCAGAGGGTCAGCGTGTGCTCAGAAGGCCGGCCAGATGGCTCTTCAGGAGACCTTAATTCTCCCTGAAGAGCCTGGTTGAGTGTGCTGGTGGGAATGGGGGAGAAGGGAACCAGGCCTTCACACCCCATTCCTTAAAGCTGGCAGCCCAAACAGGCTTTCCCAGGAAGTATCGCCTAGGAGATCCTCTGGGGTGGTGCGTTCTGGTCCCACCCCATCCTCCACCTGGTGGCCACCTCCTGTTGATAAGCCACCAAGGGGACTTTCCTCAAAGGTTTTTACTTTTCTCTCCAAAGAGGGCAGATTCCTATTTGAGAAAGCTCACACTTGGAGGGTTTCCAGAGTGTCAGATGGATGTGTCCTTTGTCATGGGTGCCTAATTGTTAATTGCCATTTTGCCTGAACTTCATCCCTAGTTTCCAGAATGTGCTGCCTCCCAGTAACCCATCCTCCATTGGTAAGTCAACTTCAAAGTCTTTTCTTGATGTGGGTCTTGTCGCGCAGAGTGTAACTGCAACGAACATTCGAGCTCATGCCACTTTGACATGGCGGTGTACTTGGCCACTGGAAACATCACCGGAGGGGTGTGTGATGAGTGTCAGCACAACACGATGGGACGCAACTGTGAGCAGTGCAAGCCATTTTACTTCCAGCACCCAGAGAGAGACATCCGAGACCCTAACCTCTGCGAACGTACGTGGGGAAACGGCATGACATAGGGCCTCTCAATTTGAATGGCCAGGGGGTCACCATCCTCCTCCTGGGACTCCTGGTGTGAGTCAGACTCTGCTGTATTTGAACTGTGGTGGAGGATGCTGGAAGCAGAAGCTACCTGGCAGTCCTGCCTTCTTTAGTCTATTTCTGTGACGTTTGGAGGGTGGAAAGGAACACACGTGTTGATACAAACACACACGTTGTTACCGGGTGCTCTTTGTTCTTCTTAGGATGCACCTGTGACCCAGCCGGATCTCAGAACGGGGGAATCTGTGACAGTTATACGGATTTTTCTGCTGGCCTCATTGCTGGTCAGTGCCGGTGTAAATTACACGTGGAAGGAGAACACTGTGAAATTTGCAAAGAAGGCTTCTATGGTTTAAGTGCTGAAGATCCATTTGGTTGTAAATGTAAGTATGTTTGTGAAAAAGTCTGAGAGTTCTCATGTATGCAATTCCCGTTTTACTTTGCAGCTCTAAATCCAGACTACCCCTTGGTACTCACTTGGTTTGTATTTCTTTACTTCATTTTATCTCTAATAAAGCTTGTGCTTGCAATCCTCTGGGAACGATCCCTGGCAGGAATCCTTGTGATTCTGAGACCGGTTACTGCTACTGTAAGCGTCTGGTGACAGGACAGCATTGTGACCAGTGTCTGGTAGGTGAATCCTAAGTACTTGGGATGGGTGGTTTGTGCATGTGACATGGTTCGCCTTTGTAGAGTCCACCGTCACCCTTCTATATAAATATTAGAAGACGCAAACAATTCACAAAAAAATTACTCATGAATAATTTTGACAAGATAGTCACCATCACTGTTAGAATTGTAAAATAAAACCACAGCGAAATACCATTTTCATAGACAAAAGTAACAAGTTTTTAAAAATGGGGTTGCTAACTCTTAGGACCTAATGAAGGGCTGGTCGTCTAAGCTGCTGATGGAAATGCACATTGGTTCATAGTTGGCAAGAAAAGCATTTTGGAAGTAAGTAGCCTGTAGAAATGGGCATACCCTTTGACCCAGTAATCCCACTTCTGGGTATCTTTCCTAATGAAATAAGCAGAAAATTGGACAGAGGTGTATTCACCAGAAGACTCATTGCATCTCATACTAATCATAGCCAAAAAACTTGGAAGCAACGGTGGGGAAAATAGTTAAGTAAATTTGGGGGCTTCTGTACAGAGTGATATTTGGTTGCCTTTGGAAATGACAATAGCATGAGGAAATGCTTATGCTGGTATTAAAAAAAAAAAACACAGGATGTGAGTAGTATCTTAATTGTGCAGGAAAAAATTGCATCAAGAAAAACAAAATCTGGAAGGAAATACACCAGAAAATTCACTGTAGTGATTCTGGGTAGAGTGATTACAAGAGTAATTTTTTAAATTACCCTCTATCTTTTATAACATTCTTGTGATTTCCTTTATATTTGTGAGAGGGGGTCCACTGACCCTAAATTATGTTTATGACCAGTAAATATGTATATTTGCATATATCCAGATAGATTCTTAATATAAATTTCTGAAAGTCTGCTTTAAATGAGTGCACCTGGCTTTTGGCTTTCATCTGCTCATTAGGAAATGCATTTTTGTCGAGGTACAGAGAGATCTTCTCCCCTGTGTAGATTCTGTCTTTCTTCTTTTTATTTCCATCTCCAGTGTGCTCAGAATTCAGTGACCTCCTCACCTTTCACTTGTGAAAATACTTGCTTTATGCTGTTTGGGAATAGGTAAATCCTTTGAAGAGCTTTGCTTATGGAGTTTCTGACGGGCTGAACTCAGGGAAAATGTAAAGGCCTGCCAAATATTTGCCAAAACTCTCTTACTGCCAGAGTACTTTTAATGAGGAAAATTGGTATCTTAGCTGCTTGCTCGTATTTACTCTCGGACAAAGGCTATTTGCTCGGGAGAGAAACTCCTCTGCTCTGGTGTTAGGTGGTTATGACCCCGGTGACCTGCGGCCTGGGTTTTAGTTCAGAGTGCTCATGCTTATTCCTCTTGAAGGCTTTCTGCTTGCACAGCATGAAAGAACATTTGGTAGAACAAGCAAGACACGCCATAACTTGTTTCTTGTTGAGTCTATTGTGTAATGACAGGAACCCACCTTTAGATGTTAAATCTTTTGTTGTGCAGCCAGAGCACTGGGGCTTAAGCAATGATCTGGATGGATGTCGACCTTGTGATTGTGACCTTGGAGGGGCCTTAAACAACAGGTGAGTGAAGCCACACATACACCCGTGTTTGTGCTCGGTCTCCCCAGAGAGCCCTCCCGATCTCTAGGAGCAACATGACACTCAGTGTCTCTGAAGAAGAGGTGCAAAGGATAGGCACCTTTAGTTTACCTGGGATCTTCATGTTTTCAAAGATTTAGTCATTCCAAGAGTTAGCTTTGAAGACTCCAAGTATGTTTATGTTTCTTGGTTTTTAATAGTGTTGTTGTTATAATTTATGGTATGTTTTAAATTATGGAAACAACGTATGCCCATTAAAAAAAAAAAATCCTGGTGCCTGGGTGGCTCAGTCGGTTGGGCATCTGCCTTCAGCTCAGGTCATGATCCCGGGGTCCTGGGATCGAGTCCAGCATCGGGCTGTGCTCA